ACAGTCCTGAAATCTTCAGCCTAGAGCATGTGAATACCACTGAGATTGAGTTGAGGTTATTGTTAACATACATATTCTAAATTATTTAAATTGTTTCTGCTAAAGGTTAACAGTCAGAAAAGAATATCAATTCCATTTAACTAGTTTAAAGCAAAGACCAGCAAAAATTCAGATCCTACACTTCAGAATTATATTAATTCAGCTTCTTGGCAACATGGAAAGGAGAAAAATTATAGGAAGAGTTTATTCAAATGTATATCTTTCTCTATTACATGATGATGGAGAATATTTGGAGATGGACAGAGTTGTTTCATATGTAGGATTTGACCTGCCACATGGATGCTTCATTTATAATTTCTAAACCCAAAAGACTTTTGGTTTAATTGTGTAACCATTGCAGGCAAATCAAATCAGCAAAACAACTCTTTAAACATGTCCTTGCTCATACCTGAAAGAAAAATAAGAGACAAGCCATGCTGAAGGTCTTTTTTTGACATAGTTAAAGCATTTATATAATATCAGAAAGTGAAATAAGATAACTTTCCAATACTGAATGTGTTCCCTTTACAATGAGACCTCTTGCCAGTGGACAAAGACGTAGAAATAACTTTAAGGATGTTTTATCCAATGACCAGCAGGTAATTATATCTGCTCTATGTAAAGAGAATGAACTCCTGGTCTGCAGTTTAAAAACACAATTTTTTTGGAGAAGTCACTTATAAGAAAACAAATGAGGAAAAGAGTCTGTAACAGTCAATGATTTTACCAGATTCAAAAATCCAATTGTGCAATTAGAGAGAGGCATTTTTTAATGCCTCAATGAAGAGAAATACAGGAGAGGTAATCTAGCAAAAACTTTTCTTTTGCCCATTATTGTAAGCCTGTGACAAGTGAAGTATAAATGACATACATATGAGAAATTAACACTGAGAAATTTTATAACAACAATGCAGAACAGACAGAAATATTCAACTAATAGTTCTTCATAATATGGTCCCATCCCAGTCATGAATGCCATATCCTTTTGCCTAAAATAATATGGATATAATTTTTAGTACACGAGAATTTAAAAAGAAATTATTACTGGTCTGCCTGAACAATTAATGTTGCTATTCAAGAAATTTTAGGATGTTAAGGACGTAAAACATGGATAAAGACAAGGTTACATTTGGACAACACAAAAAATATGACCTTGATTTTATAATTCTATCTGTGCCGGAATCACTAGCAGGTAAAACAAATGGAGTCCTGCTACGTGATGTAACCAATACCAAAAATGGTTGTGTAACTAGTGACAATGAGCATGTAAAATTGGGCAACTTTCTGGGTGAAATTGTTGGATATGATCGATGAAGATGACTGCACTGACATACGCTTCTGTAAAGTGACAGACCTCCAGCAGTATATCAACCTAATTAAGTGACTGGCATTGTACAAAATCAGTGCAACACACAACAATTAATTGTGAAACGGCTAAATGGCAGATCTACAAATGCCAGTATGAACAGCTAACCACCATCCCTTGGGTAATGCCTGAGGAATTTGTAGAGTTCTGCTGTTTCTCAGAAGTGAGTTTTTCCCGACGTGTGGCTGGTGCCAGGACTCCCAGCCCAGCCTGGGCTGGCGCAGGGCTCTGCAGTGCCCAGCTGGCTGGTGCCACTCCAGTTGCTCAGATCCCTGCTGGGAGCTGGCACAGGCTGTTTGCTGAGCTGGGCATATGCAGCAATGTTAGCACCAGTTCCCTTGGCCTGGTGTGGCATCCTGAGAGCTGAGTGTCTCTCTGATGAGAAGTGGAGTGAGCTGTAAACACACCCTTGACACCACTGCCACGGGGGATTGAGCCCCGCTTTTCAGAAAATGCTGTCCTCTGCTGCTGCATAAATTTATGAGGGATCTGAAGAAATATTTAACAACATTAATGGTAAAATTTTCAGATGACATGGAATGCACAAAGCACTAAATAATGCAAAGAAAAAACAGTTTTTCCATAGGGAAATTGACATCCTTTAGTGAGCCAGGATCATTTAATGTGCTTTTTGCGACAGCTGAATGCAAGGTCATTCAGCAGGAACAAAGAATGTAGGTCATGTTTAGAAGACTGGAGACTGTGTCCTGGAAAGCAGTGACTCTGAAAAGGAATTAGGGGTCACAGTGGTTAGCCAACTAAAGAGAAGATCCCAGAACAATGTTCTGTACAGCCTTCAAGATATAGGAGTGTTGGGTGGTGATGTAACTGCTTCTGATTCTACTTTGACAAAGGTATTCAAAAATTACAAATGTTCAGAAAAGCTGAAACTGTTGGAAGACTCTTAGATCTGAAAAACTTGATCAACAGAGATGAGAAGTCAGAGTTACTTTATCCAAAGTGAAATGACTGTACTGTGGTTTATAAAGATGCATTTACAGGGGTCTTAGAAATACACAACATTTCAAAGTCTGTCCAACAAGGAAAGACTATTTCCTATTAGGAAAACACTTTGTTAACAGGATGAATCTATAGCTGTTGAAATGTTTTATTCAGATTTTGTTTCTATTTGGAGTTGCATTGTTTTAATTCAAATAAAGAACAAACACAATAAAAAAGGTAAAGCATATTTTAAAGTGCTTTAAAAATAAAAGCATGGTAAGAATGCTTGACAAACAGACTACACTATTGTGTTGTGTCTTTATGTTAGACACAAGACTTCAAATGAATAAAACAAATTTTAAAAGATACTTTCCTACTGAGTTTATACTCTTGCCTTAATTTATACTGTATTTTCTTTTGACCTTTTTTTGATATAGTCAGAGTGAAGGTCTTTCTTGAACATCTGTGAAATATTTTGAACACTTAGGCTAGATGTTAATAATACATGTCTGAGAGATGTAAACACCAATGGGAGAAATAAATTATGTACGTGAATGCAGGGCACTATAGCTAAAGTAATGAGTTGAAACATAAGAAACTTCCATTAACCTGTTCATCAAAAAAAAAAAAATCCCTTTCATTGGAGGAATTCAGCTTTAAAGGGATATTTCCTTTGGGGAGCAGAAGCCCCAAAACATTTAATTGAGACATTTAAAATGAACTGAACAAAATAGCACTGAAGAATGTTAAAGAATACTCCTTTTTCAGGACCCCAATGGTATTTCCCATCTCTAATCTTTGTGATTGCCTGCTTTTTCTTATCATTTAAGACTGTCATTAATATTTTATTTGATTTTTGACCTACAAAAGAAGTTTAAAGGTTTAAAGAATAAAGTTTTGTTGTAAGACAACCAGAATTCTTTTAATATTAGTTTCCATTCTCCCCTCGAGTATACCAAAGTTACCAATATCACCGGTATCTGTTTTGTCTAAGCACAGACCAGAACATTTCAAACCAAACAGACTAAAAAGCTGGTGAAATACTCAGTGTGGACATGTTCATTTTTTAGGAACTTGCACCTGAAAAATAACAGTCTTTATAGTAAAGTGACTCTGCACCTCATTGTACATAGGGGAAGACTTAAGTGCCTTAGAACAAGAGCCACAAAAACTAAGCTAGGTGGTGTGTTGTGGACACAATCGTACATAGAATTCTGACTCTTTTTGATGTTCAGGTATTTTAATAACCTTTGAGCAAAGGTTTTTCTGAAGGTTTTAGGTTCCCATTTCCCTTTCAAAAACTAGGGGAAAATGTGTAGCCAGAAGACTTCTGTCTGCTCTGTTCTTTAGTGATCAAAAAACTCCTCCACGATGATGAAGACAAGGCAACAATTCATTTTTCTCCTTTAGGGAATCTCCTGTCTCCTGAGAACCTACATGTGGACTTCTCTAGGGGAAAAGAAAAGAAAGGAAGTGTTCCATCCCCTTCTTCTGTTGAGTCTCTTACATTTTTTGTAGATGGAAGGCTTGGTTTGCCTTCAGCGAGATTAAACAGGAGCCTCTATTCTGATTAAAGGTCTATCAAAGGGAGCGGGGCACCCTGGGTTTAAGTCCCTGCTCTACTGATTGTCTCTGGATTTATGGATATAAAACACATAAATTGTCCATAATACAGACACACAAAGCCATCTTTTGTCCTTCCCAAATGACTGCCATAACCACGAGGTTACAGACTAATTCCCTCTCTCTGATCTAATGCATTTTTAATTCTTTCAGAGTGGAGCAGCTCCAACACAAGGGACAGACTGTGTTTTCTTCCTTTTTATGTCCCCCTGGACCATAGGCTGTTTACCTGAGAAGCAGAAGAGGGCTGAAGTCTTTGTTGCACAAAGGGGAGCAAACCAGATCCTTCATCTCAAGAAGGATCTCACCACTTAAATTTTTACATTAACGCGAAGGGTAACAAGCCTATGAGGAGAAAGCATCATGTATGGCTGAATTTTTTTTGTGTGGAGGTTGGCTTAGCAAACATGCTGCAAGACCTGATGGGCTGAGGCGTTGAGTGACTCAGATGAAACCCAAGATGCCTTTGGCCAAACGCATGTTCTGAGAAATTTCAGCCTAAAAACTGTAGCATCTATGGAATTTAGTCACCTCGAATATCAGCTGTAACTAAGGGAGTGGTATGAATAAGCATGGCTCCTGCTTTGAATACCAAAATTCCACATCAATCCCACCTTCAGCACCCAATCCGTGTCGCGGGGATTTGAGGACTCGGTGGGATTTCAGTACTTCGAGCCCAGGCAAACCTCCTGGAAATACTAACATACACATTCGCTAAAATTACTTCCCAAGGCATTTTTGGGACTCGGACCAGATGCCCCCCTCGTCAGGCACAGCTCTGCCCCGGGCACAGGCAGCTCCGGATCAGAGCCGTCTCCCCGGCCGGGGCTGCCCGGGGCGGCGGGAGGCGCCGGGCGGGCAGCGACCCGCGGTGCGGCCGGGATGTGGCCCGGGGAGAGCCCACCCGGGGATGGTGCCCGACGGTCCCGGCAGGGCTCGGCTGGCAGCGGCTCCGGCGGCGGCATTCCCGCAGCGCCGATGGAAGAGCGAGCTCGCAACGGGAGGGAGAGAGGGGGAGACAGCGGCGGCGGCGCCGCCCTCTGGAGAGCGCCTGGGAGAGGCTGGTGTGAAGAGCCGCATTTCAATGAGGGCCGGGCTAATGCAAATCACTGCAACCGGCAGCAGCAGAAGAAAGGCGAAGCAGCTGCAGCCCGGGCTCCCCGGCAGCGCGCTACAGCCAGGGGAGGCGTAACAAAGGCAGCAGAGCCGCTTTCTGCGGCAGCTCCTGCGCCTACAGCCGGGTGGTCGCGGGGGGAGGGCGGGAGCCGCCGCTCTTTGGCCGCTTCCCATTCCGAGCCGCCGCCTTCCCTCCGCGCCCGGCCGGCAGGTCTGAGTGAGGAGGTGCCCTCCAGGCTGCGGAGAGCAGGTAAGCGCCGGGGCCATGCCTACCCTACCCTGCCCTGCCCTGCCCTGTCCTGTGCGGGGGCTGCGGCGTGCGGGGCCGCCGGGGCGCAGTCGCCGGGCGCGGCGCGGAGCGCTGCACCTGTGCCCATTGTGTGGGGCGGCGGCCGCCGCCGGCCGCTGCGGGCGGCTCCACGGGTGCGGGAGCGCGGTCCGGCCCCAGGGAGCGGGCGCGGCGCTGCCCCGCGGCTCGGGCACCCCGCGGCTCGGGCACCCCGCGGGTCCTGAGGCGCCGAGGTGCCCAGTGCCACCTCCGGAGCAATGGGCGTGTTTCACACACGGTTCCCCTACCCCAGCAGAATAAACCCCATCTTTTCGTGAGCCCGCTGCCGCATGTATCCGTGTTACCCCACCAAACCCGCCGCCCTCCCCCGGTGGCTAGTGGTCATCCTGCTGTTTAGTCGCCGTATGATCGGCGCTGGGTCCCGGTCACATCGCGGCGTGATGTGGGGTTTTTTTAATCAGCATACGTGATTTTTTTTTTTTTTTTCCATGGAAATGCTCACTGACACCTGTATTATAAATAATTCTTTAACAGATGTCAGGGTGTGAAGTGTTGGCATGGTGGTTTTTCAGGGGCGTGTCTGTTCGTTTTCCATATCTGCCTGTATAAGACTATATATTTATACACAGAAACGGAAACATCAGCTCAAATTGTTTAGGATTTCTTTGTCTGCTCTGACCTTGTGGTTTAGACACGTTTTTCTCTACATACCAGGGCTGTGGAACTGAAGGGGAGCTCTATTTTGGTTTTAAGAATTACAGACATTATTGATAAAAGCTAAATGTGTGGAAGAAAGGACAGTGACTCGCACTTCTTCTTGTCCCTCATCCAAAATTAATAAAGCTGAAAGAATATATCTTTGTCTAAACTTTTTTTTTCTTTTTTTCTTTTTTTCCTTTCTTTCTTTTTTTTGGCGGGTGGGTGTATTAGAGATGATTTAAGCAAAGATAACAGCAGACCTAAGAAAAATCCATTTTTCTTGGCATGGGAATTTCTTCAGAGATACAGTTTCTGAATTGTGCATTCCGGGATTGTTCAAATCTGATTAACAGGTTCTCAGTGGAATTGGATGTGAATTAAAATAACTGACAAAATTTTTTAAACATGGAAGCTGTAGTGGTGTGTTCTCAATCCCAAAATGTGGCCACTAAGCTGTATTTTGCATTTAACCTATAGAGTGAAATGCTAGAGCAAATGTTCTTGTTAATTTCACTGAAATAGGATGTAGTGTGCATGGCAAAAGCAGAGATTAGTATTTTTTAATACATATAAGAAAACACATATACTGTACTATGTGTAAGTACCTCTGAAGGATTTACAAGTATAAATCCTGCATTTATACATAAGCATATGATCCTGTATTGGTGTAACAAAGTCAGTTGTGAGCTGTAACCAAAGTAGGGTAAATAATTCCCACTAGGGCCCCACATTTGCCTTAGGTGCTTGTGCTAGTCCAGCACATGGACTGCTCTGAGAAGTTGCTGAGCACATCACCTACAGCTTTGCAGCATCAGGGTCCAGCTGTATAATCATTGGTTTAACACAAACTTCTGCAAGTCAAAGAACATTTGTAAGTTTTTCTCTATTTCCTCCCACTGTTCTGCAGCTGGCTTGAATACATTTTTTTTTAATGGTTACATCATTATGAGTGGTTGAAACAAAGCTAGTGCTTGCTGGTTTTTGTCTTTTTATTGGAAATCAATGAGAGAGGCCACTTCTAAATTAGGGCTATGTATCTGTGCTATAAATAAAATTTCAGTGCTTTATTATTCTGCAGACAACTGCAAATCTAGGTGGCTCCTAAATGAAAATGAATATGTTTTGAACCTAATGATCTTTTGATTATTCTATCTTTTTTTGTATTTTGTGTCTTCTGTTTGTGAAGATTAGCGTGCACTTTGTGTTATTTAGTATTGTGTTGGTTGTCAACAAGTAAGAGAAACATTTGCCTCCTTGATTTTATTTCAGAACATGTGAACTGTTTATGTAAACTATTGAACAGCTGGGATTATTTTGGTCAGGGTTGATGGGTGTTTCTCACAATCAAACATGGGAGACACCAATTGCTTATTTCCTCAATGGCACTGGTTTTATCACTCCTTTGGTGATGGCAAAAGAAGCTGTTGGCCTTAATCAATTTGAATATTAGGCTTAGGATATTAATAATATATCTTGGAAGACATAGAGCCCTGAAGTAGCTTGCTCATTGAAAAACGCTGTCTCCCAATATATTTTTTCTTTAATTTTGTGCCGTTTGAGCCCTTCTGTTGGTTCTGAGTGTGTAAAACATTTGTGCAAGGACAACTGAAATAATTTATTACAAAGCTTAGGCTGTGAGGAAACCAATGGTTGGAATATGCAGGTAGTTTTTGACATTGGGATTGACCCAGTATGTGTGATACCTGATTCTCATTGCCAACCTGCCACATCTGTTCCTCTGAAAATTTCTTAATTGCTTAGTTGTTGGCAACTGGCAGCCTTTCTGGAACAACACCTCTTGAGATCACAGCTGAAGCCAAGTTTAGTGGGGGCAAACAGTTAAGAAAGTAGATGAGACTCAAATAGCACCTGAATATAACATGAGAAAAAGTAGAAAGCTGATGCATTTATTCTTTTTTTCCATTAGGTCAACTTAGTCACCTCGTTTTCCGAGATACTGAATTTGAGCAAACACTTCTCAGTGTTTGCTTGTCATTCGCATTTGGGTTCATGAGTGACGTTATTAGGATGTCTAACTTAAATGTAGCTCTTAAGGCATGGCAAGACACTTATGTGAGAAATGACCATGTGAATGTAGCATGGTTTTATTCAAACTTTTTTCTCAACCTAGGAAGTAGTCCTCTGTAAAAGCGATGTATAGAACACATAAATTGCACTCCCTTAAAACTTCTAAGTTTCTTAAGCTTTTTTTTTTTCTTGTGCATTGCTTAGGTTGAACTTCAAGATGTCCCTTGGGAGAGATATGGAGCTGGAGCATTTTGATGAGCGTGATAAAGCACAGCGATATGGCAGAGGGTCCCGGGTGAATGGTTTACCCAGCCCTACCCACAGTGCCCACTGCAGCTTTTACCGAACCCGTACCCTACAGACCCTGAGCTCTGAGAAGAAAGCCAAGAAAGTTCGTTTCTATCGTAATGGAGACCGGTATTTCAAAGGGATTGTATATGCCATCTCCCCTGACCGGTTTAGGTCCTTCGAAGCTCTCCTGGCTGACCTGACCCGAACTCTGTCCGACAATGTGAACCTGCCCCAGGGAGTGAGAACAATCTACACAATTGATGGCTCCAAGAAGATTTCCTCCTTGGACCAGCTAGTAGAAGGTGAGCAGTAAGATTTGGAGGTATAAAGTTAAGTTTGAATCAGCCTTTGTCTAATCTTTTTAAGTTTTTCAAAAAGAGGTAATGGTATTCTTATTGATAAAAGAAGGATTTCCAATGGTCTGACTAGAATTGTGGATATCTTAAATGACGCCTTGAAATATTGTTGTCTTGCTACTTATTTCCTTGTTGAATGTGTCTAACCTTTTCCTTTTAACACAGTGTTGATAGTCCTAGATCCTGAAGATTGCATCTAATCCTTCTTTTCATAAAGATGCAAGGTCAAACCAATGAGAGTTTAGTCTGTTGAACTTTAAAAGTTCAGTGGTGCTAATGAAACCTATGTAAATCCAATTCAGATGTTTTTGTTTTTTCAAGACTCTGAAGCCTAGTGAAGAGCTCTATCTCTTCTCTACTGGTAAATATATCTTAAGTAAAATACTAGGCTCCCATTGCATGGCATAGATGTTGGCAACCTGTTAAAAGAGTAATATTGTAGCCATGATTCAGCTGGGGTAGATTTTTCTACTTTTTTCCTCTGTAGTTTATCACTTTTCCCCAGTCATAGGAATGGTAAGGTTGAAAATGACCTCTTACATCATTGAGTCCAACTGTTAACCGAGAACTGCTAAGGCCACCCCTAAATCATGTCCCTAAGTGTCACATCTGCGCATCTTAAAAGCCTACAATGATGACCTGTTCCAGCGCTTGACAGCCTTTTCCATGAAGAAATTTTTCCTAATACCCAATCTAATCCTGCTCTGGCACTACTTGAGGCCTTTCCTCTTGTCTTGTTGCTTTTGAGGAGAGGACCAACACCCACCTTGCTACAGCCTCCTTTCAGATAGCTGTAAAGATCTTAGGTTGTCTGTTAAATAAGGCTTGTGTACCTGCAGGATAAACCATCACCAGTGATTTGGTCAGAACTGACAATTCTTGATCACTGTCAAATGTCAGACATGGCAGTCATTAATTTGCTGATTGAGAACAAATTTATCACTCCTTCAGTGATAGTTCTGTTGCCAAAAGAAGCTGTCATCATTAATCAATCTGAATATTAAACTTAAAAAATTAATAGCACTTTTCACAATTTTTACAGATAGCTAAAGTAGCTTTTCCAACATGAAGTGCTTCTGGACTGCAGTGGGTTTTTAGTGTAAAACAGAATGTACAGTGTATGAAGGCATTGACTATCACATGGCCATAAATGAGAGTGTTTCTTACCTGTGAAGTTTAAATGCAGATGCTTGATTGTGTTCCAAGAAAATAAAAGTAGAACAATTCATTTATTTTTGCTTCCATCCTACCCCTTGGCCCCAGTATGCCATGGACAAACCAGTAAAGAATGGATAGATAGCCACCAGACAGCCAATTTAGAGTTGCAACAGAGATTGTAATTTCTATGTGATTTTAATTTTTAGCACCAGGTGAGAGAACTTTCAGTAATAGGATGTAATGAGAGGATCAGAAGAAGGCTAATATAGAGAGAGAAGAATAAAAGGGTAATGCCAAATGTGGCTCCTGAAAAAGGCGCACAGTTTTGCATAGCAGGTGTAGAGCCACCATTGGGTTGTCTCCTACTTGTGTCATAGCAGAGGAGAGCTTTTTAAGTATTGAGAACCTGATATTCTTGATAATCTTCGTTGTGTAAAAAGGAAAGTAGGGGACAACATGAAGATGCCCCAGAAAGAAAAGTGAAGGAGTGAGATTGTCTAAGTAACAGGCTTGGAGGTAACAGTAACAGAGGTATAGAGAAATGAAAGGAAACTGGTCTTAGGAGCAATGTTATCATTTTCAGGACACAGTTGAAACTATATTTGTCAGGACAGTATTTAATTGCCAGATAAAATCAATTTCTTGGAGGAAAGACCAATATTAATCAACATCTCTTTAAAAGCAGTCTTTGTGCATTTGCTTATTTGATTGGTATGCTCAACAAGAAGCAAGATTCATTGATGTTAATGTTGATTTGCACAGTCCTTTTGCAGCCAGTCAGAACCAGTTTTGAAAATAAAGAACTGAATTCAGAAATAAATCCAGCAACCTGTAAGACTGGTTTATTTTGGCATCCTAGTGAAGAATAATACCAGCTATTAATCAGTCAGTCAAAATGAATGACAGTGCAAGAGCCTAGGTGTATTTTAAATAAAGCATTTGGGATTTTTTTTAATCCTTTGGGACTTTTCTCCTTACCCTTTCAATGAATACATCTTCCCTTCCTGGTATCATTCAAGGAGGACAGTCTTGTTTTCTTGTCCCATTAGGACTGCAGGATTTACAGAAGTCAGCCTTTGTGTGGAAAAAGAGAGCTACATCCTCATTCTGTCTGAAAAGGGGTTTCTGTTTATTTGTATAAAACTGTAGGGTGGGTTGTTTCACTCACAGAACTTCTCAGTGGAGCATGGGTTCATATATTATTAGCTCAATGATGGTTTTTGCATAAGCTCCTTCCACTCTTTACTATACAAATTTATTAGAGTTTGGCTCGTCTGGTACAGCATTAATTAGCTTGAAGCTGTTCTTTGTGTTTAAATAGCTGGAAAATCACTTGATTTTTGCCTCTTGCCAAATGACATTTGTGCTCCATCTACTGAAATATGAAGCATTGCTTTCTTCACAGTGAGACTATTCCCTTCCTGTGTGAATTCACTAATTAATTTATTGAGACTGTTATGAATTTATGTGATTGCGGGGACATTGATTTGGTGATTTCAATGTAAAGCAAATGTATAAAGCCTTAATTTTTAGAATTGGTTTTTGCCTTTATGCCTGTGAGGAAGTTCCTGTACTCTTACCTTCACATGTGATACATAAAGACAGAGAGGCTCTTGAGGGAAATGAGGCAGCAGCCACTGTCTTTCATCCCAGAGCTAAATACACAGAACTGCATGAAAGATAGTCCCAAAGGAAAAAGATTGTAAAAGAGCTGTTTTGCTTCAGTTATATATAGTTTCATTCTGCATACAGCTCAAAGTTGGCATGGCTGTGTGCTGGGGATGTAGATTATTTTGAGATTCATGGACACATTTTCTCTTTATTTGAAAGTAATGACATCCCTGAATGTGGGGTTTTGTGGGGTTTTGGTTTGATTGATTTTGGTTTTTCCTCCCCCCACCCACCCTTTGTTAAGTCTTTGTTAAGACTTCTGCACATGAGATTTGTTGGAATTTGATAACAAGGGGTATGTACTGTTGTAAAAAGTTTCACATGGTCTGTAACTTCTGTCACCCTACATGAAGGGAATAATGAAATGGATTCAAGTCCCTCCTTTTTGTCAGCCCTGATTTTAGGACCCTCTTACATTTAAAGAATGGATTCTGAGTGTGACATGACTTTATTTCCTAGGCATGACATGCAATCACAGCATGTAAAAACAATAAATATGAAGTTACTCTTGAAGGCTAATTTTTTTAGCTGTAAAGGAAGTTTCAGGAAAGGACTTCTCCAAAACTGTATCAACCTTAAATCTGAAGCTGGAGAGGTCTTACCCCAAAATAAACAATGCAAGGTGACTCTGAAATGAAGAATATTTACAGTTTTTATTCTTGGAGTCCTGCTTTGTGGAACAAAGACCACAGAATCAATCTGTAGCCAGAACTTCATCCCTTTCTCATTAATTTTTATTATAATATTACCTCAAAGTCTTGGGTATGAATCAGAATCAATTGTTTTAGGTTTCTATGATACCTACCACAAAGTTAACCCTGCAGCTGAGAGCTGGCAGTCAAAGACCAGCTGAAAGCCCCAGACCACAAGGCTGAGAGCATACTGGGGAAACAATTTTGTCACATGTCAATACTGGGTGCACTGCCAAATGATTCTAAAGACTTCTGTCTGTGTCTGCAGGTTTTGTGTAGGCATAATGGCAAAAACAGTTTTAAGGAATAATCTGAAAAATAAAAATGAATGCCTTTCAGGGATTACCTGACTGCTGCAAACCTTGTTGAAGGAGCAGTTTGAAAGGATGCAGATATGCCAGCTTTAAAATCCAGTAATAGCTGTAGCCAGCTAATAACTCTTGGGAGATGTGAACCTCGCTGCAGGGCAGAGGAAATGCTGGGTCACATGAGGACTTGGGAAGGCTCTCGTGATGGAGGCAGGCAGTTTGTGCTCAGAGCAGCAAAGAGGCTGCCTGCCAGTGCAGGGTTCAAAAGGCAGCGTATCCTTGGTGAAGTGATGGGCTGCAAGTGTTCCTGACTTGTTTTGTATACAGGTCTTGCTACTCCTGCTATCACCTCATTTCTTGTATCTCAGCTTCTCCCTCTCCTTCCCAGTATTCCTGCTGCCTTCTTGACTCTGCCAGGCACTCGGGTGTTGGTGAGGAGCCCAGCCAGGCCAGACTGTAGGAATTGATTGATGTGGTCTGTGATGCTCTCTAGAGCTAATGGCTTCTTCTAGATCATGCCTACCTCAGCAGCTGGGAACTGATGGGCTAGAAAGATTCATATGCATCTGTAATGTGCTATCAAAATAATAATAGTAAAGTATCTGTTTAAATGTTTGTAGAGCTGAATCTATGTGGACATTTGTTTGTAGGATTAAATTTACACTGGATATTTACCATGGACTTGATCCAGGGCTATCAAATTTAGGGAAACTTGGACTGAATCCTGTGGCAGAAATGGCTGTAATCCTTATATTGTTTAATAAACAAACAGCTGAATGATCCTGTTACATAAAATAGTAGAGGGTTGTTCTGGCACTGTTTATTTGATTATTTTGTTCATCCATTAGGCTGTTGATCATCTTTGTGTCTTGCTTAACAGCTTTTGGAAGTCCATGTGGTTTCTTATTCAAGGTGCTTTACATTATTTTTGGTGGACTTTTTAAAAAAGTGTGTACAGTGTCTATCTTACTTGTAACAAGATTGTAGAAATTTGAGGGGGCAGAGGAAGAGGAAGTATTTTTATTTGGCTTTTGATGAAGAAAAAAAAACTTTTTAGTCTGAACTGAGAAGGAAGTTAGTTTGTGAAAGAAATCCTTTCCAAGGTCAGAGGAGATCTGATTTAAAGTTTCTGGTGCATGTGATTGCAAGGTGAACATGTGTAGGTCAGATTTATTTCCTGAAGATGCTCCATCTCTTCTGCACTGTTGCATTTTTTTCAGACCCTGCAGGAAGACAAGGCAGCAGCAATGTAGTTAAAGTAGGTTATTGTTCTATTAACTAACACATTTGGGAACTATCAAGTATCAGTAATTTATTTGATTCAGGTCATCTTTCTTTTGCAATCTGCTCTGTGTAGTGAGGCACAGTCAGAATTTTTGGTCCTTTCTCCAGAGAGGTAGAGATTCTGCCTTTTGTATGTATAAAAGCAAAGGGTAGAAGTGAAGAAAGGCAGGTGTGCTTAGGCATGGAGTGCTGTGGGTGCTAGTCCCTTCCACATCCTCTTAACATATTTCTTGCCCTATCTGTTGGGGAAATGGACCCCAGTAAATCACTGCTAATTAACAAATTAACTTTACATTCCTGCTACATATTGTACTCCAAGGAATCAACACTATTTTCCATAAATGGGCAAATCCTGACCTCCACAAAGAGGGGTTGATGTTCCTTCTCTGCTTGTGTGATTCAAACCAGGTTCTCTTTTCCATCTCCAGGGTTTCCACCTAGCATCAACTGGCTTCCTCATGAAGCCATTTTAGGCCAAGTCACCTTAAGCACAGAAAAGCAACATGAAAAATGGCTTTTAAGAGATGATGCCTTGGTCATTCTTATAGGGAGAATATCAGCAAGCTCAAGAAAACCAACTTACTGTAATACCAATGTGGAAAACAGGGAGACACTTGCATCAGGAAAGCTCCAGTACTTACGTGCAGTGATTCAGTGTCTCCTTAGCAACCACTTTGTACACACAGATACTATTTTAAAAAATATTTAATAAGTGAAGCAAGTCTTGAAATTCTGTCATGACCTATAAGAACTATCCTCCAGTGTTGCATGTCTCTGATAGGTCAGCTGCATTGAATTTTGACAGATGTGCAACTGCAGGTAGTAGGTTTTTTCACTCTTTTTTTTTTCTTTATTTTTTTTAATTTATTTTTTTAAAGCATAAAAAATGTTTTGGGATCTGCCCTTCTACATTATGATTAATTCCTCAATGCTAAGATTGAGATTGTTCCACATGAATTGCCATTGTTCCACATGCCATTTCATGAACTGCTGAGCATTGTAGGGTTACTGGTTTGAAACTGACCAACAAGTGCTGTGCATTTTTTGAAAGGTTCCAGTGGTGTGGTGGTGGTGTGTGTTTCATTTCCACTGTTGCTGTGAAGAGGCTCTCAGGAAAGGGATACTTTGTAAGGTGTAGTAATAACATTTTTCCCTAGATGCTGGATCCCCCGAAGCAACTGGGTGTTCCCCTTTTCTTTTTCTAATGGCTATTGATACTGCAATCAAGAGTCAAAATTCCATTAGTGATGGCTGACTGCACTGTGAAACACTTGCTCCCCTCTCCTGGGGAGCTGCAATCAAATTGACACTTCTAAATAGCCTCTGTTGTCTGTGCCCTTTGCTTAATCCAGTTTCTTCAAAGAATCCTCCTCAACACTTGTTCTGTTAGGAATCAAGTATCTGGAGGTTGTTACTCTCTTCTTCCAGTTGCCAGTTACTGAAGGCTGATGATGAGGAAGCAATAGCTAAAGCAGGAGATGGATTTATTGACTTTCAAGTCATGCCCCTTGTGAAACTTTTTACAGTCTTCTCTCCTGGAGGTACTGGTGAAAAATAAGGGAATGAAAATCTAGGTGAAGATCTTTTGTCCTTTTATTTGAGATTACTCTGCATAAAATGCCAGAGGTGCTAAAGATGTTTATTCTTACAGGCCTGACCCTTAGGACCAGCATGCATGAAAATTGCAGTCCCTGGATGACATCTAAAATAATTTTAAATAACAACATTATGGGAGAAATATCTGTGTTTCTGTTAACATATGTAAAATAGTTCTTATTAAAGATAAGAATGCCTTGGATGCTCTACCTCTTTTCTATATTCTATATATATAATAGGTATTAATAGGTATATAATAGGTATTCTGTAGATAAATATTATAGATAAATATAAATAAATCAAGAGCCTCTTGAAAAAATCATTTTTGTGTAAATATTTTAGTGATGTAATATGATACTGTTGGAAACGAGGAAAGGGCAAAAATGCTTATGTTCAAACAATTCCAAACCTTCAGTGATTCCTTTTTAAATGATCATTTATATAAATCTAGTTTTGTAATGAAGAGCTGATTTGCTGTTAAATGCTACAAGGAATCCATCTGACCTTTAAATGTAACTGATATTAAAAATCATGTGGAACACTGTCCTTTCAGGAAGAGGATCCAAAAGAGTTCTTAATAAACTAAAGTAGATCTTCTGAGTACACTGTGTATCGACATTTATTTATGATCCTGCTCTTTGAGATGTGAGTTTTAATTTGAAGACTTGATTTTAAATAAATGCTATTTTCTGCAACTGAAGTGAACAATTTCCCTAATAGGACTCATCTGGATATAAATCCAGATTTATATCCTCCCTCCAAAAAAAACAAGGAAAAAAAAACCAACCAACCAACCAAACAAAAAAATCCAACAAAAAACCAAAAAATGTGTAGTTGGTGGATTTTACATCTTACAGCAAACACAAGTGTAGACAAGGATAAATTTTACTAAAAAAAAATTTTACATTAGACTTCTGCAAATTATTTTATAGAGCAGGTATTTATTGTATTGAGAGCAGTCTTACTCATAGTAGGATTTCTTTTCTTTCCCTTAAAACTTGTTAATTTTGTGGATGTGGTTCTGTGGGTGCATTCTGACCTGGCAGTAACTGAGTAGCTAATACTAGAACAATTGGACAGGGACATGGATAAAAGAGAACCTGCACTGTTTGACCTCTCATTACTGTAGCTGAGCCCTTCTACTCTGATGTTTCCATATACATATCTATCTATCTTGTATATATGCAGTGGAAAAAAGGAAGAGCCTACCTTTATCCAAGCCTCAAGTCCCAGTGTTGCCTGCCTCCATTTTTAAATGTGGTGACTCTTTGTATCTATTCCTTGTGTGCTGTAATATCTCTGGAATTGGTTTGGGTGCCTTGAAACTTGTTCAGAAATTAATTTTTAATACTTTCTCCTAATGATTGAACTGTGAGTCCTTTTTCCTTAGGGGTAGGGGTCACTAGGAATATCTTTGGTTTTTACATGTTTTTTGGCATAGGAGGTGCATCACTGAGTTTTGTTCTGGTTTTGTTACCCTGGGCTAAATTTCTGACAGGAAGGCCTCTGTGCTATTAGCATACAGTGAACTCTTGAACCCAGAAGAACTAAAACATCTCAGATGTCTCTGTGGTATTGTTCAGGATAGGATCTTGAATTATTTGTGATTTAACTGCAGGCTGCCAGAAGGTGTGGTCTTGCTGGATCTAGTATTAGTTTCTTTGAGTTTTTGTTTTTGTTTGGCTTGTTTGTTTGTTTTTCCTCAGACAGAGGATGAACTGGATGAGCTTGATGTTGCAAAATTAGTAGTGTCTTTGGTGTGTTCAGTCAGATCACTGAGCTGATCCGACTCATCCAGTGCTACTGCTAGCACAGCCACAGAGTCAAGCTCAGGGGAGAGTTGGGGAGCACCCAAGTAGTTGTCCTTTACACAGCAGCCTTCAGCTGGACTGGGTTCAGGTGCAACTCTGCAGTCTGCTGGGTTTTCTGGCTGATTTCTAGTTCCCCAGAAGTTGTGTGGGCGTGGTATGTGCAAAAATATTTTACTGTAGATAATGCTCCAACAGGAAGAGGAGCTAATAGCTACTATTTTTCATTTAAGTATGGTAAATTTGTTGTGATGAGAAGTCTGTAATTGCTACTCTTTGTCTTCATTTCCCATATATTATATTATTTAGTCAGTCAATAATACAGGGAGATTTCTTGTCTCTACATATCCTGGGTTTATAATGCCTAAAGCTTTAAAAATTCAAAACAAATTTCCATGACTCTTTCATTCACCTTCTTAATAAAATGTTATTTGTAGCCCATATTTTTTGGTAATGTTTCATAGTATTTCCTCTGAAGTATTTGGGGCCTGATGTTTTCTTAGTGGGCCACTTAAGCATGAAGGCTGGGGTAGTACTGTGATAATGTGCTGTGGCTGGGCTGCTGGTGAAATATGAGCACTGTTTATTGTGTTTACTGATAGCAGTGGTCCCCACTGCAAATAGTGTTTCCTGATAAGAAAACTGCTGCTTTCAAGGATTTTTGTAACAGCATTTCTCAAACAGTTAACTGAAGAGTGATCTTTAAAAGATTACTCATTTTGTAGTCAGTAGCATCTGAGAAGGGAAGAGATCAATATTTATGTGCTGTAGATCAAGAATGATAAGTATAATATTTAATAATTTGAGAAGGATTTGATTTTGTATTTTCCTGCATTTTTCTTTTTTCTTCTCTCTCCAATCTGACTTGCTGGACTTTTCCTTTTGTTTCCACAGGGGAAAGTTATGTATGTGGCTCCATAGAACCCTTCAAGAAACTGGAGTACACAAAGAATGTAAACCCAAACTGGTCAGTGAATGTTAAGACAACTTCTACTTCTCGTTCAGTGCCATCTCTTGCCACTGCTAAAGGAGGTGCTCCAGATACAAAAGAGAATAAGGATTTCATTAGGCCTAAACTGGTCACTATCATCAGGAGCGGAGTGAAGCCACGTAAGGCAGTCCGAATTCTGCTCAACAAGAAGACAGCACATTCCTTTGAACAGGTTCTTACTGATATAACTGATGCCATCAAGCTGGATTCAGGGGTGGTTAAACGCCTATACACACTAGATGGAAAACAGGTAAGAATTTTCATGATGACCATTCTCAGCATGAAAAAAATATAATTTTCCAAAAGAAAATATACATTAATCTAAAAGAGTCCCATTTGCTCTAGAATGTACAGCCAGAGCTACTACTTATAGTGTACTTCAGATCTGTGAGCAGCTCAGGAACACCATGAAACATTACTTGGCCTTGCTGAGGGTCTCGCCATTTATGATAAATAATAGCTCCAAATCTGTTCTGTTGAAAGTGTGATATGGTTTTGGCTCTGCATGCCGGAAACGTAGGATGAAGGATGTCACTTAAGCTCATTCTGTTAACTTGTTTCAGCTTTTTCTTGCAGCAGTTTTATGAGTCATTGTACTTGTCTTTCCGTAAACTGTAAGAACAAACAGTGAGGACGCATTTCACCATGATAAATGCAGACCTACTGCTCTCCAGAGTGACTAAATGATGAATCTTATTGCACCTAAAATGGACAACGAAGACGGTACAAGCTTAGAAAATGAATGAGCTTTTTTTCCTATTGCAGGAATACAGGTAGGATTGTGTGTGGTGCTCACATTTATTGAGGAATCTCTTGTAGGTTTCATATTATTTCTTCTGTGAAATACCTTCAAGCTGTGTCTCTTTTTTGCTGACTTATTAAATTGCAGCAGAGGTTTTTGAGAAGCTTCTTATTGAACTTGGGGATAGAGTGACATAAAAAAATATTACAGAATAATCCCACTTTTTTTTTTTTTTTTGTCTTTCACTTTATTTGTAATTTTTCTATGGACATGTATTAATTATAGCAAAACGGGAAAAGCTCTTAACCTGCTGAAGGGCAAGGCTAATTTCAGTGTGACCTGAATTGATTTAGAGCAATGGTGACTCTAGAGAAATAAGGCAGATATTTGCATTTACAGATGTAACTTATTAAACTGAAGAAGTCTCCCTGAGAAGCTAGAAGCTGCTAGAGACTGCGATATTTCTGCTGTAATACAGCTGTGTTTTTACAGATTCTAGGTTCAATGATTCACAGATGTGCAGCAAACACTGTTGCTACTGAGATGCTGCCAAATCTGCCTGATACAGGTAAATCAATGCTCAGCAAGATCTGGTGATGTCCTAACATATCTGCAGTTGCTGGGGCTGATGTGCAGGCGTAGCTCCAGAAAAAGCTACAGCAGTACTTTCTGATCTCAGAGAAGACTGCTTAAAGGACAAGCTGCTTATTCAGAACATTGGATCAAATCAGGGCCAAGTCTGGCTTGACCAGAAGTCCCTTCTATCTGCTGTTTTGTATCAGTAACCTCTGACACCAGTTACACACAGTAGTACAGTTCTTGGTGACTGTGTACATGCCTGTAATGATCTCCTTATTGTGACTTTATTGTGAACTTTGACCTGGAGGAAAATGTGAATGTGAAATTCTTTTTTTCTGCAGCAAAGGTGAAGTGTGTGTTGAGGGAAACTCTCAACTCCTGTTCTTTCTTACCTTGTCTCATGCTCCAGGGGGCACTAAGACTAGTAAGTTTGAGGAAGGAGTTGAGATTTTAAAGCTACAAAGGTCAGTGATGGTCTCTGCAGGACACTGACAGAAGATCTTGAATGATTATTCTGGTTCCTGCAAACCCTCTCAGTAAAAAAGGAATGCATATGCTTTGTATTTTATATGCAAATAAACTTGTGGTTTAGCTCTGAAGAAGCTCAGCCTGAAAGGATGCCAATGTTGTCTCCTGGATAATGTGCTCACTTTTATATTTTTGTATTTAAAACTCCCTTTTAATGATCGTGCTTAGAACAAACAAAAAAAACCAAAAACCAACCAAAAAACAAACCAAAAAAACCCTTTACCCTGTTTTGGAACTCTGATTCATGAAATTACTTAGTATTATCCTTCTACTGGGGAAAAAGGGATAACCAGATTTTCTTGGCCCTTATATTGGCATAGTTCAGTTGAATCCTTTGTCAACTCATGAGCTTTGACTTGAGCTTAAATCAGTGGTGTTTTTGTTACCTACCATGTAGCCTGAAACCCTCATGTCCAGAAACTTTCCCAAGAGACTACTCCTTCTCCTTTTGGATATACACATGGAATTGTGTAGCTAACTGTCTAACCCCCCTGGTAAGGTCAGGGCTTAGAGGAATGGGTGTGTGTGTCCTGCAGGTGTAACAGAGACTTTGCTTTCTCCATGTACAGAGCAGCTTTGCTGGAAGGAAGGGAAATGAATGACTCTGTGCTCAGCAGGAGCAGCCTGTTGCTCAACCCTGAGTGGGGAAGTCATTGATTTCCTGTGCTGCTAGGCAATTGCTGCTCCATTTTTCTTTGCCAAAAGACTGATCTCCCAGATGGTGCTGGGGACATGATGATAGATTTTTTTTTATTGCTAAATTCAAGCTGTGAATTATTACTGGGAGGAAATCCATGGTAAATCCAGCATTTTTCCAGTACTGTTTGTAGTTGGGAACTTCTACTGTGACTCCTGCTGGAGCTCTGAGGGTTCTGGAAAAGCCTGTGTTGAAGGGCTAAACCTAACAAATCTGTGATTAAATCTTTCATCGCTAACTTAAAAAGCAATAAAATCCTAAAGCTCTGAGTCAAGAAAAGTAATTTACTGCAAGGATAAGAGAATAAAGCTCTCCTGCAATCATTCTTTGGGAATATAACTTGGAGACAAGCTATTCTATATTTTCTTCTGAGTTATATTATAAGGCCAATGCTAGAATTGCCCTTCCAAAGCAATAATGAGTCCCCTGTATTGTTATTGGACAGTGTGGTATGTGCATTGTTGTTGAATACTATCATTAGATGCCTCAGGCTAATAAAAGTAGCAGGAGTCAGAGACTTAACTGGGCATCCAAGGTAGGTGGTTTTCCCACACTGACACTACACATGGAAAAATAATACTTGTAAATACTTAAATAATTGCCCTCAAATAGTTTTATTAGTGGTGATGTTTTGATCTAAAATATGTTAATAAACATTTTGTTCAGGGAAGAGGAATTTAAATGATGGCCTCTAAAATTTGGTGACAGTGTAAAGAGCTTGTATTGATGGAAGAGGTAGTACTTCGACAATCAGAACCTCAGGAAATTGCTAGGAAGAATGCTCTCCTTGGACATCCAGCTGATTTCCCATCACAGAAATTTCTGGGTTTTGAACATTTAATAAGTTTTGGTGCATGTGATGCTTTGTGAGTGTTTCTTAGAACTCCAGGACTTAATAAATAGGTGTGTTGTATTAGCCATTTTAACGTTTTAATTCCAGAATAGCAAAAGAAAGGTGTGGGGGGAAACCAAACCAAAAAGAAGAAAGCAAGCTAAACACAAAATCCACAAGAAAGCAACCCTCAAAATAAGCAAACCCCAACAAATTTAAACAATCTGTCTCATTGGGTCATTGGCAGTTCAGGGACTAAAACTTGATGTTTTCCAGTATTGGGTGGGTATTGACCTAGGATTTCATGCATTACTTTAGTTTTATTTTAAGAAAAAATAAAGTTTCTCCTTACTACAAACAGGGTAATGGCTTATTTGCATTTCCTTATAGCCCATTAGAATCTGTATTTTGACTTCAAGGTCTTAGAAGCCTTAGAATATCACTTCATTTGTGCTAAAAAGGGCACAATATACAACTGCAATCTGATTATAAGCACATCAGTGGCCTGAAATGCATGCTTTTGCAGTTTAATTATTGATGACTCCTCAGAGCTGGATCAGTTTCACACCATGTCTGGATGGTTTATGTATACTTTTATAGATATACTTAATTTCTACTGGTACAAGGGTCTTTTTATTCTGGAGAAAAAGATAGAATTACTTTCCTGTACCACAGTGACGCATTAGAAAATGGGTGGGACTCTCAGAAGTGTCTAACAGTCTTGTGAGCACAGGCCAAATTCAAAAGCTTTCCAGGGGCAGATCTTGAGGCATTTTCCCTGCCAACTTTGCTATGTAAGGAAAATGAAAATAGCATGAGTAGGTGTAATGACTGCCTGTAGGAATACAGATAATGAGGGCGTGCTCTTACTATGAACACTACTCAATTTTCAATTTTTTAGGTTAACCTGATGTTTAAGTTCATGAAGAGATATTGTCAGCATTGGCCCTTAATATCACATACTTGAACAGAGAAGGAACACTTTCTCATGATTGAAATGTGTCTTGCTTTATTGTAGCTGCACTGTTCCAGTTTGATTTCTATCATTTCCTTAACAGAAGGTGGCATTTTTAGTTTGATGTGCATTAAAAAATTACCTTCTAAAAGGCAGTGTGTGGACACAGTGCAGACACTGGGACACAAGCTGCATGTGGAGATAGAGCCCCGTTGCTTTGTTGAAAGCTATTCTCTAGTTTCTGTTTGCTTGGTGTACTTCTAGAATAACAGCAATGGCTAAAATGGGAGAAAACTAATCAAGGTCACATTTAACAGCAATATTGTGAGACAGTGCCATTTTTAGAAGTATTATGATGTGTATATTTGTGCAGGGTATTTACAGTTTGCATGTTTTGACAAAGACTAAAGGTTGGACAACAGTGCTTTGTTACCTTGTACATGCTCCGCGTGCTTTTGGCAGAACAAACATCTGGTTTATAATAGGACCTACATATTTGAACAGGTGATTTGCTTAGCTTAACAAGATGCAATAATGCAAATTATTTTTCAGTTTATGCATTATGCTGTTGATTTGACTCCAGACAGATAAATGGTCAGTGTCAGAGATACCAGAATAAAAGTCACTATCTATTTGGGGTTTATTTACTCATAAATATTTTATCACAAATAAAATTACCTTTACAGGTATGAAATACAGTCACAGTTACTTAAAGACAGAAGGTGTAGTGTGAGGCATAGGATGTCCCTCAATAGCCTTGTTTTAAGCCATTAAAATAGCTATTAAAGAATTGTGACTGCAAGGAAAGGGAACATCACAGTGCAGGAAAGCTTGAAGCTTATTCACTGAGTGTAATAAGCTTTTGGTTTTTAGTGGAAGCCCACTACAAAATGGCTTTGTTATGATGCAAAAAAACC